TGAAAATCTTTTGTAATATATCCATACAGACAGGATGGAAAATAAAATGTAAACGATGAACTGCTGAGATAAAACACTGGCATTTAGGTAAGTTTTGTGATTGCCATGGGCACCCTTAGATTACACCACAATCTCCTTTACTCTCCCCTGCTCGTGGGCAATGAGAAAGCCCAGTGGAGGGTACCCCAGTACGACTTTACGACCCACGCTGGGCAGTACGTGGAGGCCGCAGTAGAAGGTTCTGGGACTGGAGGCAGAATGACCCATTAGGATACTACTTCAGGCAAGTAATGAGGGGTTTAATCAATTTTACGTATTTCAGAAATGTAAAAAAGTTTCATTTATAGTTGGTTAAATATTGAGTTTATGGCACATTTCTATAAAATCTGGGCCTCAAGCCCAGGTCTGAAATATGACCTGATACTATAAAACTGACTGTATTTTATTTATACTTTTACTAGTTACATTATGTTCCATAAGTTTCAGCACCTACCATAATAACTCTTGAAGTTTGTTTTTCATCACAGCCCCCGATGTTTTCCTATCCCACGGATGTACTTTCATCTATGTTTGAGGTTTGTGGCTTTTGTTTTCTTTCCTTAGTCAACCTTCCTATATCATCTGGTCTGTCCCTGCCTGCTTCTCCAAATTATTTAATATACTATGAAATCTAATCAACAGACACTAACTACCCCAATTCAGTTTTGTTTTCTGAAAATCAAATAAATGTAATTTTTAGGACATCATATAGGTCATAAACAAGAATATGAGAGCATCTTGATCCCAAATCTTAGGGAGCTTTGTGGTTTTCTTAACTGACCACTGAACTATTTTGAGCCACCTGCTTACCATCCAAAAGAAGTGAAGGGAGAAAGAGTTCATGCTGGCCTCATACCCCGAGGTCTGCTCTTCTCACTTACGAGCTGAGGCACTCAGGAAGCATATAAAACAAATGCAATAGAGACCCCTTGTAAGCCACCTCATCCAAATGTGTGCTTAACACAGATTATTTGATGATCCTGTTGAAGAAAAATCGGGTTGCTGTGCACTCATGTGTATCAGACATGTATATGTTGTCAGAAACATGTATAGGGCTGTCAAATCAGTTTTACCTTTTTTTTTTCCCAATGTAAGGCAGCGAATATTGTGCAACCTAAAAAAGTACTTGTTTAGTGATATCTTTGCTGATCTCAAATCATCAAACGCATCTGTTAGAACAAGTATTATAAATACTTTCTTTTTTGAATATGAAAGATCAGAATTTCGCTGCAGGTTATATTTTCTGTTAAGAATTGATGAAAATGTTGCGGAAGGCTGGATAGACATGCCCTTTTCAGTGTTCATGAGGTCGTCATTTCTACCCGACTGGTGCTTGCAGCTTAATTAAAGGGGTTTAGTACAATGTAAGGTTACAAGTCCCCATTACTTTAATAATTCCATATACATGTTCAATGATTTGGGATATAACAAATATATTCAAGATGGAATGGTTCAAAAGTAATTTCAGGTTTACATTCATACGTGATGGTGCATGTTCATTTCCCATCTGCCAGCTGAATGGAGAGAATTCTAAGGCCTGGAAGGAAAGCCGAACCACAAGATGGAGGAAGCTTGGTTTCTACAGTGACCGTGTGCAAGATCATCTCTGACTGCTAACAGTTGTGGTGGCACATGGCGTGAGGATGTAGGGAGCGGCAGAGACATAGAGACGTCTGACACGCTCCCCTCTGTTCCCGCCACAGTGTCTTGGTGACGCTATTTCCTCACTAAAGGCATGGAGAAGTAGGAGATATAAGAAATAATTAGACATGCATGGAAGGACTGACAGAGAAACACAACAGAATAGCCTCTTCTAAATGGGCAATGCAGTAACTTTCCAAGAGATAAGTTAGGTACATATAATTTAACAGAATAAATGTCCAGATCCTCAACTTTTTTTTTTTTTTTAGTTTTATTTATTTATTTGAGAGAGAGCAAAAGCGGGGGTGGGGAGAGGGAGAAGCAAACTCCCTGCTGAGCAGGGAGCGTGATGCAGGGCTCAGGTGCAGGGCTCCATCCCAGGACCCTGGGATCATGACCTGAGTCGAAGGCAGACACTTAGCCCACTGAGCCACCCAGGCGTCCCCAGATTCTCAACTTCTTAAAATCTATCTGGCTAACGCTGAACCTATGAGGGAAATACAGGTTATCTTTCTCCTATCGTTTTCCCATTGCCCTTTTCCTATTAAAAAAAAAAAAATGTTGCGGAGGAGGCTCTTTATAGTGTATTGCCTGGGGTGTAAGATCTGCTGAGAGGGTAGGAGCCTCGAATAAGGGACAAGTCAAAATACTGACAGAGATGTTGAAAAGCAGATGTCCTCAATGACTAGATTTTAAAAAAAGTCCTTTTACAAATCACATGATTTCTCAATTCACTTTCAAAGAATG